TGAGAGCAAAATTCAAATTAGTGTTGCTGAGGTTGAAAAGTGGGCCTTTTGCTTTTTTTTGGGGGGGGGGGGGGAGGGGAGGAGGAAGTGGTTTGGGTTTTTTGTTTTTAGTATATAAAGTGTAGCTACGGACCCCCAAGTCTTAAGGTTTGCATTATTTCTTTTTTTAACACTGGGCACTGAATTTCCTTTGTTGGATTTCCATGATAAGAATTTCCTTGGTTCAGAAAAACGCTAATTGGAAGATGAAGACAGTTTTTAAACCCAGTCCTGTATTCCTTTCTGTATCTCAACAGGCAGCTTGCCTGCATCAGAACTACACAATCAGAGCCTTGAAATGCAACAGATACTTTTAACATCATCTCAAATGGCAACAAAACTGTAGTCAAGTCATATTATTTACCATTTGTATTCTCATGTGTGATACATTGTGTAGAAAGCCCATGCTGCCAGATCCTGACAAGCAACGACTCATCAGATGCTCAGCACCTGATGTCATGAAGCCCACTTCTGCTAAGTCACTGTAATAATCAGTATAGTAAGGAGTTGAGTTTGGACAATTTTAAATTATATTTCAAAGTATTTTTGAGGCAGCAGACAATAGGCAGTTGAAAGTTAACTACGTATATTCAAAAGTACAATATGTACAGTCATCAGCCAAATTCATCAACTGTAGCAGTAACTTGACAGGGTATTTCCGCAGTCCAATGATGTCATTCACAAGTGCCATATCAACTGTATCATGTCTGAACGAAGCAGATATCCTGTAAAAGTTACTGCAATGGTTAGCATGAGGGAAATACAGTGTATTTGTGCCAAAACTGATCAGTGCTCTAAGGAATTACATATTAGGCACTTTAAGAAAAGTTTACATCTTACATTGCTTGTATAGAAATTGCTTTTTGATCCTGCTACGGCAGATCCCGGATATTACAGTTCATTGTAACTTAAAGATTGTTTAAATGGCTTTTGGCAAAAAGTTTGTAACTGTGAAAATGTAAAAAGTATTTATACACTTCAGAATCACAATGTTGTAGAAAACCACATACATGTTGCCACGTGATAAAATTAGTAAACAGAAATGCTAAGAGTATGTTTGCATGTGACACAAATGCTACTAAGACTGCAATGCCTACTATATGACCACAGTCATTCTACTAGCTGGTAAATACTGAATATGAAGTATGGCACAGAATATTGTTTGATTAATTACAAAGACTTTTAGCATAACAAGGTCTCTCTATATATATGTGTGTATATTAATTATGTGGGCATTCTTGATACTTGTAGTAAAAGAAAAGTACATAACTAATTTAATTTTACACAGAAGTATTTATGCAGATTTTCAGAATTTCATATCAGGAATAACCTTTTTATGTCCATTAGATATAAAAACAATTTGCTAATGTGTTAATTTGCATGTTTCCAGCGCTTGCTGTAGTTATATTGCAAAACAATGCATGTAAGCATTCCGCTTGGAATTTGTCCATGCTGCCAATTCAACGATGACTGCATGGAAAACTGGTAGTTTAGAACAAATCAGATTCCTGATTTCAATGTACTAAGCACCAATTACTTTGTTGTATATGCTTGTACAAACAAATTCTACATATTCCTATAAACAAAATAAATGAAAAGAGGTAATTATGTTATTGTCAGTCCTGAGATGAAACTTTCAACTTCTCTAATAAAAACCTTAAAAATTTAAAACCTTCAGTTTTGACTGTAGTGCATTGTAGGGGAGGTGGTGGTATTATTACTTGCAGATTTTTAGCAAGTTTTATTTCCTGTAAAAATGTACATAGTGTAAAATATATTTCTATCACAGCTTATTTATTCAAAGGAGTCTTATTTCTTTTAAGTGATAGAAGCATTGTGCAGCACTGGTCCTCGTGGCACTGCAGAACTACCAGAGTTCAGTGTAGCAGCACTACCTTGAGCATGCAACTCATTCAGACAGAGGTCAGTGAAGTCTTTAGGTGTTTAAGGCAGGGTTTAAACAAACTTGTGATGCCTATTCAGAATTCCCATTCTGATGCCACTTAACCTACGGAGGCATCTTCAGCTCCTTATGATCTGTAATGTTCTAAAGACAAGTTGGGTGGGCCTGCACTACTGGGAGCAGCTCTCCCTGCTCTCTAAGCCTGGCTGGTCCTTTTCCAGAGTGCTGGAGGGAGGGAGCTGGGAGCAGCAGCAGTCTCGGAGCATGCTGGACAGGAGCCAGCACCTCAAAAAAGGCAGTGATTTTTTAATGTATATATATTTCCTTTAAATGAAAAATAATGTCTTCTAAAACAGAGCTGGTAGAGACGGTGCTGTGAGCTGGAGTTCTATACCGTAGCCTACCGCAGTGATTTCTAGCCAGTGAGGAGAAGCAAATGACAGACCAGGTATGGAGGGAAGCGGGTGGTGAAGCATTGAACATTACTAGTTTTGTTAGACTCACTTACAGCCTGGCTGGAAACCACTGCCCTACCTGTTAAAGAAATAACTGGAAGTGGAGGACTTGGGTTCAGCTCACGTCCCTCTCTGAGGAACATCAAACCCACCTGTCTTAATTCCCTGGTGAGTACCCTACACATCAGGGAATATGCTGGTTTTGGAAGGCTAGAAAATACTGTTCACAGCCTCCTTTGGAGTCTGTGCTCGCTGCTCAGCCAGGAGCAAGACATTTATCAAGTCAGAGAGAAAATGTGCTTCTGTGAAACCATGGAGCTGGGTAGCCTTAGCTTCCAGGCTCAGCTCCCAGAACTGCTACGTATTTCATCCATTGACAATTTAGCATAAAACGCAGACAGTAATTTGAAATTAAGTGATTAATTTTGTCAGCTAAGTATTTTGAAATACTGTTTAAGTAGTATTTGATTCAAAAATTATTTGAAGTTTGGCCGCTAATGTAATGAGGTGAGAATTTCCATTGAGATGAAATAGGCTAATCAATTTGAACATTGATACTGAGTTAAAGCAGTTTAAAATGTCATTCTCCACTGGAGTGATGGATTCCACTTCAGTGAAATTTCATCGAGGGAAGTGGCAGATTCTCCCTCTCTGAATCTCTTCAGATAAATTCAGCGCAGCTGTGATGGGGAGGGTCATGACACCCTGGCCTCACAGTCAGCCTGCTAATTTGGGGGTTGGTCTTGACTGTTTCCAAGTAGCGGTCTGTTTAACCCCTGCTCCACTTGAGTGCAGTCAAACTGCATTACCAGAGATGCAGAATACCCCTCGGGGGCTGATTTCCTTGCACACTCCACATGCCGCTGCCCACAGGCTGCCTGTGAAACCAGCTGCCAGTGATGGATGCATCCCAGAGCCGTGTGGCCAGCAAATCTCGCTCCTAGGGATGCGCCAGCAGTGGTCCCAGTGCCACAGCCCCACTGTTGCTGTGCTGCGTGCTCCCTGCAAGGAGGCTGGTAAGAGTTATGGCTGGCTGGGGGGTAGCAAGGGGGATTCAGCCTTCAGAGATGTATGGGCAGTCTCCACAGCTGGGGGTAAAGGGCAGCTTGCAGGGCTGGCACCAGGTGGTCCCATCTGTGACCATCAGTTGGCCCTGGTTACAGCATTTCAGGTCGGCTAAGGCTGCACAGGCTCCCTTGGGTGAGACCTTTCTGCTCTGTCAGTGTTCTGGGGCTTTCTTGGTGTTAGGGAATCTCAGGCCTTCCCTTTTTTGCCACAGAGAGCAGGATAAACACGGCTCTGGAGGCTCGAAGTGGAGATTGTCACTGAAGCCGAAGGCTTTTTTGTTGTGCTGCGCAGCCGGCAGGTGCTGGGTGAGCACGGTTCTCCGCTGTGGGGCTTCGGGGCTGTGGGTCAGGCTGGCCCGTGTCTCTAACACAGCTGCTCTCTGCCAGCTGCTCCCCGTGGTACCCTCCGAGGCAGGCTGGATGCAGGGGCAGCTGCTCAGGCTCACGTATTTATTTGGAGGCTTAGAAGCTCAAAAAATTGTAAATTGAATTGGGATCTAAAGGAGAAAATAGAGGCTAGTGAAATACTGAGGTCATCCGTGAAAGACCTGAGGAAGCCAGACATTAGAATCACAGAAATACAATCTATTGCAGTGAAAGAGCTTCATACAGAAGACTCTTTTTTTTTTTTTTCCTTTATATAGTCCCCTGAAACTATTACCAGTAGATTAATCGGGAGAGCGAGGAAATGGTCAGAATATAATGTTTAATATGTACAGCAATCAGAAAAGGAATTTTAACAGAGTAGCTACAAAAATCAGTATGTTCCTTCAGTATCTGCTTTTATTCTTAAAAAGCTATTCCCAGCAAGAAAACCCCTCTCTGCCGGCGTGCCCTGGCAGAGAAAGGGCAGCTTCCCTCAGTCAAAACTCACCTTGTAATACCCGGCTTCACAAAACCCCGGTCCGTTGCCTCCAGACGCCTTTTTCCTGAGCTAGCAATGTGAAATGCTAGCGAATCCGCGTTAACGCCACGCGTTCCAAATAGCTGCTGTCCTTTTGGCTTTTGACGAAAAAAATACCTTTGGGTAGGCTCCTGCTGCTCCTGGGACTGGTGTCAGTGTAAATTGTAAATATTCGGACGTGCTCTTCGCACCGGGGTGAGGGTGGGCACGCATTTAAGGACCGTAAAAGCTCCCAATAAGAGGTGAAAAAAAAATATATATTAACGTCGCATCGCCGAGCGAAAGGCTAAGGCGAAACCCTGGAGCCGCGGGGTGCAAGGCAGGGGGTGTCAGCGGTGCTGCACACCCCCGGGAAACCGGCCGGGGGCTCGGGGATGGGAACACGCCTGTTCCTGCCCGGGGACCCCTCTGCCGCCCAGCCGGGGCGGGGGGGCATTTCGCTCCCCCCACCCCCGGCTTGAGAGGAAGGTAGCGCTGGCGCCGGTTTTGCGGGGAGTACCGAGGTGCCCGGCTGGGGGCTCCGGCAGGGACGGGTCCGCGCTGCTCTCGCTCCCCTCGCCCGGCGGCCCCGCACAGCTCGGCCGCGTCGCAGCCCGGGGGTGCCCGAAACGCCCCCTCTAACAGCGCCCGGCATGGCGCGGCCTGCTTTGTTTCATTGCACCTTCCCGGTGCTGTCGGGACCGCTCCTCTCGCTACCTGGTGGCACGTTTCACGGTGTGGCAGGTGTCGTGGTACATCACGACATCTTAAGAACTCGGGTGCGTGGGCGGCCGTTTACCAGAGGGTTTGCTCCTGACCTTGCCACACAAAAATAGCTGTACGTTTCTTTCTAAATTAAAACACGAAGCAGCTGTTGGCCTTCACCGAAATTACTGACGCTCCGTGAGCAGCCGGCGCTGGACTAGATAAGCCCCCCTCCATCCCCCGCTGCCCCGGTTCGGCGGTTACTTCCCTTCCCTCTCCAGCGGCCCTGGGGCTGCCCGGGGACGGGAGGTCTCCCGCCGGAGCAGCCGCCGGGCGCGGCACCGAAGGGGCAGCCCGTGTGCTCGGGGTAGGGCTCGCCCAGGGCGCGGCCCCGCTCCAGCGGCAGGTCGGGCCCCCTGGCTCCCTCCCCCGAGGGCCTCGCTCTCCGCCGGGATCCCTGCGGGGATCCCCGAGAGCCCCTCCGCGGGGGTCGGCGAGGCCCCCACGCCGGGGGAGGGGGAATTCCTCCGCCCTGCCCTGCCTCCGCGTACGTCCCGTCCCTCAGCGCGGGCGCCTCCATCAGCTCCGCCGGCATCTCCCCTCCTCCTCCTCCTCCTCCTCCCCCCCACACACCCACACACTCTCCTCCCTCCCTCCTCCCCGCCACTCCGCAGCAGAGTGCAGCCTGTGCAGCTCCTGAGAAAGGAGGTGTTTCAGGGTATTTTTTTTTCTCCTCCTTTTAAAATATTTCTTCTTTTTTTCTTTCTTTCCTCCGGAGCGGACCCTTTCGGAGCAGCAGCAGCCGCGGACACGCCGGGGCCGAGCAGGGAG